TAATTTTGATACCTTGAAACTTGAGAAATTTGATATCGGCCGTTTTCCGGAGATAGCAGAGAAGTATCGCATATCGGATAGTAGTTTGTCACGACAACTTCCCACCGTAATACTTTTCAAGAATGGCAAAGAAGTAGAACGTCATCCAAAAGTAGACGTCAAAGGAAAGTTATTAAAATTCTTTTTTTCGGCTGATAATGGTCGAGCTAGCTTTGATCTGAATAATATGTATAAACAGTGTGTGGAAGATAAACAGAAACAATCCAAAGGGCAACAAATTATGAATATTACCACTAATACTATAGCTGCCATAAAGAAAACGCAATAAATGTTTCAAGGCTGTACAGCATTCAATCGGAAATATTATCATAATTTATTTAATATTCGGCTTGGAAAAAATGATATCAATGTTACGTTCATTGCTTGTATGTTATTAAACGTTTGAGTGGCTTTTTAAGCGCGAATTTTGACAAAAGTGGTAGCGAGAATTCCTGTCTATTTTACATGCTATCACTTCTTGTGTATATACTTTGTTAAGAATTTTGTTGTCCTTCTTACGTCGCTTGTTATTCTACGTTTTCTTTGTTTTCTCCGTTGTTCTAAAAATAAAACCCTTGAGCGGGTTTTTAAATCAGTAGATTAGCAATTTTTAATAGTTGTAAAGTTGCATTTTCTTATCATTTTTAATAAATTATTTGCCATGGATTGTAGAAGATAAAAGTTATAAACGGATCATAATAGGGCCATAATAGTCAAGAAACCGTAGCCTACAATTAAAAGCATATACTTATCTATTATGAACGCAAGAACTCACTAGAATATTACGTAAAAAGAGCCGATCACCCAAATATAATCGTTACTTACAACATATAGGTATAAAAGTTGATACAAATGAGTGCATTAAGAAAATATTTTGCAAATTGTATTTGCCATTTTTAATTGACTTGTTGAACGCTCAAGATTCGTTATAATATGGCGTGTACGCCGAGGACGATTTGAATAATCTTGGCCGTTTCCATTATTTCGAGTAAAATAATGCAATAAAAGTTCGAACAGACTAAAATCGATTTTTTAGTGAACTTGTCTTAAAGTACATAAGTTTATGTATCTATATTTGTGCGTCAAATTGCGAAAATGATGCTCGAGTCGACCTCATTTAAAGTTAGGCTTTTGTTTTTGTTAAAGTTTGCTTTGTATGGAAACATACATTCATACGTAAACAAAGAACTGTCAAATTTAATCACCCTGTGTCTTTAGATGCAGCGTGCCCATGTGCTCAAATGAAATGGTTCGGTAAAATCAATGAAATCACACGCAGTTTAAACGCCATACCGTCGGACTGTTTCAGTTCTTGCAACTACGTTACTGATTAAATTCAATTTTATTAAAGGAAAATTAAAAGAAAATTAAAAATTGTAAAATATTATGAAGAAAATAGTTTTTTACATAGTTTTCACTAATTCTTTTCCTTCTTCTTTATCTCTTTAAGCAATGCTTTTTTATAGGTTCTAACAAATGCTATTAAAATTTACAGAAGTAAAAGTTAAAAATTTGTAACAAGGAAATAAATTGCTTAAATTGTGTGTACGTCGGGTTTTTATAAACTTTACTTGGTGACGGTTGTGGTAAAGCGAACAAATGCTAGATATAAAGTCAACAAATGCAATATAACGGAAATTATTAATTTCATACAAGTGTTTATATTTATACGCCAATCTCTCCATACGATATATTTTATATGAACAGATATTACTGCCTACACTTTAAACCGACATACACTAACAAATATCTGTATATGGGAAGGTAAATAAAAACACGTCAGTATATGGTAAAGTAGTATGCATACAGGCATACGCGCAAACATTATACAGATACCTCTACCATTAGAGGTATATTCGTACTCACACATATCCCTTACCCCTTACGTATGATTTTGCTTATACATCATAGGCAAACATTCATATTCGGCAACAAATCTGTTAAGACGAATTTCGATTTCTCATCATACGAAGAAATAGTATTTCAAAATCATATAATATTTATAAAGAGATAGCCTTTACAACTTTTCCAGACAAATTTTGGTCCGTGCATTATTATAGTCATTCGCGAAACAAATTGAAATTGTTTAGCCGCGTGCTTAAATCTCTCAGTGACAACGGTCGCATTTAGAGGCAAATCGATCAAGCTTGAGAGCACGATTCCCAAATATCTACTCACTCAAATTTTCTGACATTCAGTATCGCAATAATAGCCACACTTGTGGACGAACGGATGGATATCTTTTTTAGCAAGTATTACTAAAGATACGAAAAGATTAATAGACTCTTCTCTCTCAATAATATTATTCTCCAGTTTACCTGGTAGTAGTTTAGTTTTGTTAGGTAGAAACTTTTACTTATTTGTTAGCACAGCTATGGAAAATTTCAATATATTTTTGTTTGAATGTATGTATGCATGTATAAGTATTACACCTGTGCGATAGGGAGTATGTTTGGTTGTTTTCGTGATTCCAGAGTTTATTGATTTCTAGCTGAGTTTTTGGTATCCAAAAGCTACACACGTACATTCGCGTTTTTTGGTCTAAGGGAGGCTGCAAGCAAACACCCACAATTTAATTAGATTTAGTATCCGTTTTGTTGCTTCTCGTGATACTATTATTTTTGTTGTTGTTTTCGTTATTTTAGATTCTATAGCATGATAACATAGATGATGCCACTTGTCTTTCCTTTCCCGACTGTTTACGTATGTAGGAACGTATACGCTAAATATCTTGTTAAAATTTTATGCCTTGCCATTGCTTTCTAGGGTTTAACTGCGCATTTATAGTTGTATTTGAATTTAACGCGTTACTGTCTGTGCATATATTTCAAGTGTTAGGTGATGGGTCCAAAAAAATGTACTGCCTTGTTTTCTAATTAATTTTAAATTCGCGAGAGTAACCTAATCAGTAAACATGTTTATAGTATAAGCGTTAAGTAATAAACTAAATGATCATAAAAGCAGATGAAATCCAATAGCAAAGATACATAGAATAATAAATAATCGGGTGCAATGATAAAACTGACGATTTGCATATCTGTTGATAGAAAAAAATTGCATTTTCGCAAATTCACGCGGTTTGCATATCGAAACGATTACAAATGCGTCTCTTATATACATATGCGTTGTCGAAAACTAAAAAGTTTTTTATAGTGCCTTGTACTTGAGAGTACAGTAAAAGCTCCTTATTCGCGGCGGATACGTTCCATAAAAATGACGCGAATACAGAAACCGTGAATACAATATGGTAATTTATATGGGATTATAGGGGATACTTTCCTAGGTGACAAAATAAAAAAAATACATAAAAAAAATCAATTTAATTAAAGTTTTTGAACATTTTGATTAATTATCTTAAGGCTTAGGGAATGGTTTAAAGAATTTTGTAAGTTTCTCTTCCTTGGCAGCTTTTAAAAGCTCCTTCAATTCACACTGATACGCAGCAGTCGCATTAGCAATTTGCCTCTTAAAAGTAAGACTTTGTTCCATAGACGGATCAATGTTCGTAGAGAAATCGCCAAGCCCATTTGCCATTCTTAAACCGTCACTAAGATTTTTCAAATTAAATGTCACGTTTCCAGTGCTTCTTAAAGCCTCTTGTTCAATGGGCTGCGAGTTTAACATTTCCTCCAAGTCGGTTTCAGTCAAACCTTCATCTTACGATTCAAGTAATTCCTGAATGTCACTTGATTCTATCTGTTCGAACCCATCTCATCCTATTCAATTCGTGATTTCGGCTATGTTTGCAGTCAAAGTTTGAACTTGCACAAATTCTTCGTCACTTTCCGCAGTCAGAGCAGGTCATAGTTTTTCCCAGCATGCCTTCTATATGTGTGGCTTCAGTTCTTATAATGATTCTTTTATGTTTAGGATGCATTTTGCTATGTCAAATTTCTTCCTGCATTTCATAACCTTCATATCAGGAGTACAATCCATATTATCCAATATGATTTTGAAGGTTCGTCTAATGTAATAGCGCTTAAAGGCCTGGATTATTCCTTTGACCATAGGTTGAAGCAAAGCCGCCGTGTTGGGAGGAAAAAATGTCACTTTTATATTTGGATGCATAACTTCAAGTTCGCGGGGATGACTTGGTGCATTGTCCAAAACTAGAACTGCTTTAAAGTCTAAATTCTGGTTTTTAAATATGTTTCAACTTCAGAAATCGCGAATATGGAAATGGGGTCGTATTTTTTTCATCCGCAAATAGTGAAACCGCGGATAAAGTAAGCGCGAATAGGGAGCTTTTACTGTATAGTGCATTGCAGACAGAACATGCTTATAAAGAATGAAATTGATGGTAAGGTATAAAGTGGAGTATATAGGATATAAGACAGCCTACGAAGAAGGAGCAAGATTGCCCTAAGTGGGCACGCCCAGATACGCAAGGCATCAAAATATCGAACGACGATAACATGCTCAATTTAATTTTAATTTCGAATAAAGATTTACAATAAATTATAAAAAGTTTTTGTAGATTTTCTTAACGAAACTTTTCCTCACACCCGATATGTATATGTATGCTCAAAATATGTTATCTGTTTTGTGTGCGGTTTCGAGGGTTTTTGAGGTTGTTTGCCTCTTTCCTTTGTGTATTCACATTCAATGCTCACAAACTATTCGGTTTTTTCACAAATCAATAGCAAACACTCCTCAGAAAGTGCGCGTACGTATGGGCTAACAATAAAATCGTTTTGCGGTCTTTACTTCTCCTCCTGTTCTCGTTATTTCTTAGCGTTACCATTTGTGTGAGGCAACATATAATGAAAAAGTTAATTTCGATTTCGGATATAAAAATCTGTTCTAATTTATAACCAAAGATATCTACACATAGATTGCCTACAAAAATATATTTATATGAAAATATATTTATATGAGAAAAGGCAAAGACTTTGCAAAAACCTTTTCTTCAGTTTTCTTATACAATGTTATCGCTTGCAACTTTTCCTTTTTTTATTTTGTTAGTAAATTTTATCTCTCTGTAAGCCACTGGGATCCAACGAAAATTTCAAGCCAAATATAAAACGATTTGTATGCAAATTTATCAACAAGCTCATGGCCACGCTAACCGGTAAATGTGAAACGGTACTGTATGAAAGATAAACAAAATGAGTTCATATTTATATAGGTAAGTCTGATTAAACGGCCCTACCGCGCATACATAAAACCCACAGATAAATTTGAATCAAACATTCCCTTGACATATGCGTCTTCGAAGTCCCATTTGTAACAGATGGTGCCTACCGACTTTGACGTCTTACGTTGCCAAGCCCACATGGTAGCCATTTGAATTTTCGGATGCACTCGACTCCAAAAGCTTACATCAATACCCTGACGGGATATGGTTGTAGCCACAGAAAAATCGTGCAGTTTATACCTAAAAAATTCAAAATTATTTAAATACCTTGATTTACAACAACAAGTAACAAGCACCTTTACCTTGCCGCAAAAGCAGTATCAGTCATTATAGATGTAGGCTCCGTCCATTCCAATAACCATTCGCCACCCAAAGCCAGATGCTCCGAAACCGACCGTAAGAATGATATAGTCGAACGGCCGTTTTCGACGCTTACATCATATAAATCTAAAGTTAATGTGGACAGGCCTCCGCGATACTCAATAGTGCTTTGCGTTTGTAGAGGTGCCTCGTCGGCAGCTCTTTGCAAGTCGGCCTCAATGCGTAGACAACGAAACGGAAAGTAAACAATTCCCACGTTGGTAGACATAGTGCTCGGATTGATGTTCGCGTGTATTCTAGGAGTTTGCTATAAAAGTTTGCAACCGTACGTTTTCAAAAGTTCAAAAGATGATTTTTTCTAAAACCAGCAAAACCTACTAATATATTGTCGTGTATTCTTGACACATAAATGCCACCAAATCTAAAACCAGCCGGTTGATTGTGGCTTAATATCCAATTCGCTGTTATTATCTTATTAGGCGCCAAGCGATGTTTATAGTCCAAGACAAGGCCATCAAAAAATTCAGGCTTTAAACGACTGGCGAGATAATGGAGATGCTGAATGTTGCCCGGATTCGCGCCTTTGTTAGTACCTGGATATATTTGAAAACAGGGCGGAAATTCCGCATCAACTTTCGGAGGGCACCAATCGCACTTCATTTTTATATTAAAAAATATACAAAAATTCCTAAATATCTCTTTACGTCAATAAAATTTTTTTTTCTCGTTTTTTTTATTATGAGCAAAATGACAATTTTATAAAAAAAAACTAGAATAGTTTCTTATTTAAAATATCATCAGCCAGTAAAAGTTTAAAATCTTATTATTTTGCCGTAATTAACAAAATTAAGCAGAAAAATGTTCTTTAAATAAGTAGAAACAAATGCTTTTTAAACCGTTTGCTTAAGGTTGTATTTCATATGATTCACCATACATTCTATGAATGTCCATTTTATTGACTCCGCTGGAAATCACAAGTACGAGAACAATTATTTTCAAGCTATGCTCCTGCATGGCCGAGTATACGCAGAGCCAACAACTGAATGGTCGTGGATTCATATCTCAAAAGCGGTATAGTTTTCAATAAAGCCGATCGCCGTAGTGTTTCAAGACTTTATTCCTAGAATTTATTCTCTGGCGAAACAAACAATAATAATAATAATAATAAAATTGTTTTCAAATTTGATCGGATATCGTACATTACTGCAGAAAGCAGGACCGATCTCCGAACTGATGCATATATGGCAACACTTCCTACGTAATTGCACAAATTAGCAACACGTAAGCGTGCAGCGGTAGAATAAAGTTTTCTATCCGTTTTTCGAGATAGTTGAAAAGGGTTTGGGATAAAAACACTTTCTGCTTCAAGAATACAGTCTACAAAAATTAATCTAGTAAATAAGTAACTGATACTTTAAAAATAATACAAATGTGTCACATGATCTGCATAGGGAATGGCTTAACAAAGCGAGGACAATAGCATCTTTCTTAACATCCACAAACTTTCTCTCAAACCGTGACACTATTTCGGAATTTGGCTTAGTTTGATTTTTGTAATGGCTAACATTTGCTTACTTTCCCCGAAATGGTAAATAAATCCAGACGAGTACATAGGGGTTGAACTGTATGACAAAAAAGCCGCTAATCTATCTGAGAGGTAGAAATTGGTACTAGACCTAGCCAAACTTTTACATTAAGGACATGTACAACACAGGATTGTCCTTTAGCCTAACTGATGAAAAATCGGTTTACTGAGCAATATTTGTGACGCTAACTTAGACACTTCGTGCTAAAGAGAAAAAGAAAACGTAATGCTTATTCACAACGCTGCAATAAAGGGAAAGTGATCTCTGTCATGAAAGCGGTTCTCGATCGCCCGCATTTTATTCTTTGAGAGTAATCAAGTTGGGCTATTCTGTTCGTAGGCACCGTGTTTGCGTAGTTGGTCCTTCCGCTTAAGACGGTTTTCATGGCGTTTTTGTACGCTAAGATTATTGCTAGTATTATAATTACTCAGACAGATCAGTGAATGCTTCTGTGCGTTCAATCGAAGCGACTGCAACTTCGTTCGCTGCGTAATTTAGATCAAAATTATTTTGTTATATCCATATAATTATGAAAAGTTTTTTTTTCCCATAACGAAAGATAAGTTATTTTGACAAAACGTTTGCAACGCCGAGACGGCAACATCAAAGAGCCCACAAAGTACATAGATTCTTGATTAGTGTGAATTTTTAAGTTGATTTAGCCATGTCTGTCCGCCTGTGTGTCTATGTGGTGTGTGTTGTTAGCACTCTCCTGGTCGCAAAATGCAGATATTGGCATCAAATTGGGCACAAGCATCGGAAGTTTCTGCTGGCATGTTGGTATTGAAAATAGGCCAAATCGGTCAAAGGACACGCCCGCAGCACCACGTAAACTAAGAACACCTTTGTTTTTCTAAAGGCATGAAAAATTGGTTTTCTGCTCATAACTAAAGCAAATAAATGTGCAAAAATTTGACAGCATATTCTATAGGCGAAACTGTACACTTTGTGTTAAAAAAATGGAAAAAATTGGACACGCCTACCCAAAACTATAGTGTTTCAAAATTTAATTGTTTTGTTAATACATCTATAACGTGCAGAAACAAGCTTCAAATGGCCTATAAACTATACAAATTCTCGGCCGGTTTCAAATTTGGAATGCACCTAAACATGTCCGCCTATTCCATCTGTCCGTCTGTCTGCTTGTGTAGCTTTGTAGTATTTGTGGTAAACAATTTTTCGCTAGCGAAAATGAGGATATCGCCTGCAAATTTGCAAAAGAATTTGCAATTGACCTAAGCTTTTCAAAGGACACGCCTACAACACCCACATGCCTCTACGACAAACATTTTTTTTGGAAAATAGAAAAGATCATCTGCGCCCACTTCCTATTATAGAGTATGAAAACTTTGTTCTTTTACTTCTTTTGTTTTTTTAGGATAACGCTTAACCGCATTTAATATTGTTACTTGTTTTTTTTAACTCTGAAAGATTTAGGAAATAATTTCAATAAGCGTTTCGTAGCGATGTTTAGTTCGCGAAGCACGTACTTCTTGGCATAAGAACCTACAACAAAATGTCTTATGCAAAAAGAGTCAACTAAAGATTCTAAAGAAAACGATACTAATCCACATGCTCTCTTTTAACGTGTTGATCTGCATTTTTTCTTCTACTCTTGCCGGAGAACCCCAAAACTACCAAAATTGATTGTAAATTTTTTCCTTATTTTTTTTTCCTTTTTTTTTTTAATAGACGGCTGCAACACCTACCAATTGCAGTAGGGATTGTATTTGTGTTTATTTTAAACAAATCAAAATAATGTACACATATACTATCCAAGAGTGCAAGCACTCAGCTATAAATGTTGATAAAATGAAAAAAGAGTGGAAACGTGCTTTCTTCTTCTTTTTGAAGTACTTCACAGAAGAAGTAAATAAAAAAAAAGGATTATTGTATTGTATTACGTGTTATAATGAAAGTCCTTCTTGCTCTTAACACTTCTGGACCAAGTTGTTATTTTGGTTAGTGCTACTGTAACTGAAATTATTATTGTTGTTGCCGTTATTTATTATTATTATTATTATTGTTATACTTGTGTTGAAGGCGTCGACAATGGCAACGATAATGTTGAAGCCCACTTGACGTTTCCCGTTCAAGTGCTACAAAGCACTTCATACACAGCATCGGATCAATAAGTGAAAAAATCAAAAAGCCATAAAAACTTGACACAAACAAAACGTGCACAGTTTTTTTACAGACCATATGTAGACCAGGCTGTCGTTTTCACACAATCGCTTCATAATATAAGACTAAGATTGCAATATGTAGAGGTTGTAAGACTTTTATTAGGTCTCTTATAAAAAAAATCGTTATAAAATTTTGCAAAATAACTGGTCGTTAAGGTAAATAAAATGAATTTCAAGTTTTTGTTCTAAAATTGAGTTGCTCGTAGGGTATTAAAAGGAGCCTTTATGCCTTAAAATTTTCCTTTTTTCTTATGAGTGGCTATGTGTTAAACGAATTGAAAGGTTTACTTGCTTTTACAACAAATAAAGGAAAAACCCTTAAGCTGCTCAATAAGTAATCATATCTTACTTACTCATACATATATGAAATCGACAAAGTAACGAGCTTGAGTTTTTCAAAGCAAAAAAAAAGGACATAAAAAGAAAATAAATGGAGAGTGGAAAAATTACCTTCTTCCGCCTAGGAAATAGACAAAAAATACTACTATTTTATTGTAGAAGAAAGGACGCAAAGTTTGGGTTAACAAATGCACAAGTAGTTGTAACGGAAGATAAACGCTTTCTTTTATAGGATTTTTAATACGTTTTATATACTCCGTATTGTAACAATTTTTCCTACGATTACACATTATGTTTTGTTGTCTTTCTTTATAAATTCTTTACACTTGTCGTGAAATCCTACCATCTGGGCTTCAATTTCATGTGTACATTTACTTGGTCTTTAAGTCTTTTTAAAAACTATTTTTCTTCTTTTTCTATCATTAAAACTTCAGTGATCAGTTATTGATAAGCAGATACTTTACGGGAATGATGTAACTAAGCTGGTATATACACACGCCTATATCCAGCTTCCTTATATCGTATAATACATGTTTCTAATAAATGTTTGCTCAAGTAAAACCTTTAAGAAAGCTTAACCAAATCTCAAGGAGATTGACTAAAGGAACTACACTCAGAAGCAAAAAACGCGCACCCTCTACCTTTTTATTTCCAACATAAATATTATTTTAATTAAATTTAGGTTGCAAACATAACTTAAATTAAACTAAAGTACATACTGTCAGGGTTAAGTACGCACTGTGACCTCCTAAATCCTTACAGAAGTAATGAAACACCCAAATCTCTCGTTTCAGGGTGCGCTGTTTCTGGGATTTTGGCTAGGTATAAAACGTTAAGAATTCATAGAAATTATACCATTTGCATATGAACTCGCACTCTGAAAGGTTTTTTATCGAGTGCGAGATTATTCAGAACAAGAAAACTGCGTTTAAAGTGATTGCGCTAATTGAAGCTCAGCAGAACAAAAGACAAGTGGCACGGTAGTGGTGGCTGTACTCACCGAGGGGGCAGTGGCCGAAAACAACTATTTACTGGACGCAAGTACGATTTACTTGACATGACTACGAAATCGCCGGTTGCAGTTCAATGCAGTTCAGCTCGGGCAGCAGCTTCAACGAGTTAGAGCAGTGGAAGAAGACTAGCGGAAGGAGCGCACAGAACATCAACGTACCAGAAACAGACTCCAACCCGCCGATATGTACGCTTTAGTTCGCTCGAGGATATATGAATTGGCCTACGGATCAACGAAAGGTAGTACAGTTCTCTGACGAGTGCGGAATGTGTCTCCAAGATGACGACGGATTGAGAAGGGTTTACCCCAAAACCCATCGAGCTTTACGTGCTATACTGCATCTCCGGAAGTGTCTCATATAGTATATGATTCATATATGTTTTGGGAAGCCATGTCACTGGAAGCGAAAACCGAACTTGTGTTCATCACAGAGCTTAATACCGACCGAGGGACTTTTTCATGCATGGCGTGGCCTGGTCGAAGCCGAAATCTCAATCCCACTGCCCTTATGGAACGAGTTGAAAGAACGAGTAGAAC